TCATATTTGCAAGAACTTCCTGGGTTTTGTGATTACATTTTCACATTCTATTGAACATTTCATTTTGATACTTCACTTGAATCTTTAACTTGTCAAACTAGATAATATGCAATTCAGGATTTTATATAAATCACACAATGTACAATTACAATAATTGTGTTGTAGTGCATTTGTGCAATATTGTATTGATATAGAAATTTATTTTTTTTAATGAAAATTTTCATGTGGATTGATACAGTGCAAATAAAAGTCAATAATATTGAAACCAATGCAGCAACATCTTGTCAGAATCCTCATCTTTATTTTGTAGAAGAACCTTCTCCAAAACTTCAAAAAATAGAGTTGACAGAATCTGATATTTCAACTCTAGAACATGACCAGAGATTACGACATCCAATATTTGCCTAACTTACTGGCTTCTAAAATAAGTTTTCTTAACAGGCCAGTTTTTGAATTGAGTTCTCTTAACTTGTCGGGACAGTTGAATTGAGTTACACTAGAGCCTTATGTTGTCAAATTGACAAAGAACTAATCGATAACAAGCTTGACATTATTTATTCATCTGTGAAACTGACCCCAGATGAACAATCCTTGACTCGTCCCTGCACAGAGGATGCTGCCATCAAATTGATTTGAACTATAGAAACCAACCATTACACAATTTGAGCAGGTATATACATGATGGCCATGCAATCAGAAAATTTGCATAAAATACCATGTAAGAAATGGTTAGGAAAATATCCCATGTAAAAATTTAGTTGCAAATGAGAAATTACATTTTGTTAGTTCTCTCATATTTAATAAAATGTAGAGAATAGCCTAATATATCTTCAAGTCAGATAAATACGATGAATCCTCAACCATTCTAGCTCCAAATGTTCAATAAACTTAGAAGTAAGCTTATACAGTATATATGTCATGTTAAACTCTCCTGGTGATCAACCTTAATAGTTGGAATGATAATGAGGCAAATATGATGTTACAGCTCTCCAAGGAAAAACTAAGTCTAAGTTATATTTTCCATCAGGGCCATCACTGTTTTAGTTTACTACATTAAACTAAAGTAGATTTTGTTACATTCTCAGTAATTCAGTTTCCTTGAATTGCTTCAACATGTGCACAAGAAAATGTTATAACAACTCAATTTCCATGGAGACTCTCAAGGACATCTGACGTGAAAAGAAAAGCAAATATCTTTGGACATCATTAATGGCTTGGAACCAAAGGCAGCATCTAATTTATCAGCTTAGAAACGCGATGAGTTTACATTGAAGGAGTGACCACCAGCGAAGTTACAACATCTAATCTTATTTAGTTGACAAAAGAGAACAATTATAATAATAGGCACACAAAAACATGAACATGTATAGTGCTTGAACGAAAATTTATGTTAAAGGCCAAAACTAAAAAAGCCGCCACCGGTGCTAGTTTCCTAGGGTACTATCACACTACCACCAATGTATGTATATGTGGGTAGGACAAAAAAATTGTGTTGAATCATTAGGTCGAAGATAATACGTGGGGGACACCCTATAGTTATTCAGTTTCCATGCTCTAAAATATAAAATATAACATTATATTGTCTATGATCTGTAGCAATTCATGATGTTCTACCAAGATAAGATATTTTTCAAATTTTAATAGTAGCTAGATGAAACCACTTGGTTATAATCTTCTGCAATCTGCACTGCACCATTCAGGACTTAGATAAAACAACTGACCGCTTTCTGATCTATCAAAATCATAATTCTAAGCTAATGCAAAACGGGTATATTGGGGATGATCATGACATAGCAATTCTTCATCACTCCCAGATGCTCAGTAATTGTGTCAAGCATTTTATATGCAACAATATAGAGTGGGAATATATTTTCGCCTTCTTATTTTAGGGTCAATCAGTGATCACATGTTGCAAAAGTATATTATTTTCAAAATAAACCTAGAATTTGATGAGTTCAAAACCCTGTAAAGACCATAGTCCATGGAGTAAAATGGTATCAATCAACGAGCTTAAACCCCTAGGGTTAGAGCGGGATGAATTTTATCATTCTGATGAGCAATTGAAACTCAAAAGAGAAAAAGAACGAGGAATTAGGGCAAAACCTTGACTGTGTCAAAGGGATGACCGGTGACGACGGTTGCAACGCCGGCGGCGCAGCCGGCAGCGTATTCCTCTCTCTACTTCTTCTTCTTCTGTATCTATTTCTTCGTCGATGCTGCTGCCGTGCTGAGTCTGACCACCATGAGAGAGAGAGAGAGAGAGCCTCAAATTAGGCTCCCTTCGTTTTTTCTCACTTTGTTTTTTTTCACTTATTTTGTCCGCGACTTTTTAAATGGCGCTTTAGTCCTTTTATACACTAGTTGAGATTTGCGTGCTGGTTGAATAAAATTTTTTGTGAGATTGATCAACAATAATCTCTCTCTCAAAAAAATATTATCATTGTTTTTTTTAACCCGGATTGTGGTCACGTGATCTACTATTTGTGAGTTAAAAACACGTTGATCTAATACAATATTTATGTTTATTAGTGTTTTGAAGTCTTCAAAAGATGGGTGATCATTCAATTCGCAAAGGAATATTGCATATGAATTTACTTGTGATATGTTCATTAAACTTTTAGTTATGGTTTGACTCATATTCACATTAACTTTTAGTTGTGGTATCACTCATATTTAGATTATCTAATGTTTACATTCAACTTTACAACTCATTCTCCGAACCATAGAAGTAAAACTAAAAAGTATGAGAAATTATTTTCTTACGAAATTAGAGCAGGGAGATTATATTATATTTCACCATGTGCTATAAAAAAATTCTTTGATGCAAGGTTCCTATCAAATCTTGCCTCAAACGATGTGAATGAAAAATGTTTTTATTAATCACTTGCTTAGGACAATTGTATTGTATATATGATATATAACTCATCTGGAATATCCACATCTGTTAAGTGGATTTTGCTATTGTGAGGGCAAAATATTAGGGACTCGTATTCAAACTTTTTGGCTCTATAAAAGACATATGATTTTAGAGTGAATAGCTTATATATCGTAAAGAACATACTGGTTCATGAAGAATTTTACCTAATAACGATATCATTACAACGATATTACTATTCAGTATTAAATCAATTTTATTATATAAGATTATATGACCATTTTTAATAAATTATACAGTATATATATGAAAACCTCGATACTTATGACTAGTAGTTGACTCCACAAAATAGGTTAACTTTATATTGTAGTTTGCTATTTTTAGTACTATTGACAATGTCATTATCTTTCATCTTTATCTTATTATTCACGCTTTTCTAATGGTAAGTCCTTTTTGATAATCACTCAATTTGCTATATTTAGTTTTTATAAAATCAGATGTTAGAATATTCTTTTCTATTTAAAAAGTATTGACATGGTTTTCTTAAAAAATATATTCATATAGTAGCAAAAATATATATTTTAGTTCAATTCAAACATTAGCTTGAAGCCATTTAGAGTGAGGTCATTTTTACGCGAGAATGGTGATATAGTGATTACACAATCCAAAAGTTAAAGAAGAAATTTCTACAAAGGACAAGTAATTTAATATGTCAAATTAACAACTAATTTATAAAATATACATGAGCAGTGTAGATAGCTATAGAGAGTAAGATATACATCTTCATGAAAATTACATAGTGAGTGACCAACTACAATCATCATAATTTAAGCATGAACAATTATTATTTTAGCTACTAATTTGGTATGCGTAATTATGAAATAAATCTTAAGCAAAAAATAGGAATTGAGATTGTATTATCTTGTAGGTAAATAAATAAATGTTATTAAAGCTCCTCTTTATATTAAATTTAAAAATAATAATTTAAATTATTAAGCACCAAATATTAGTTCATGTGAGAAAGTAAAGTAATATATGATCTATATACCTATAGAGTCAATCAATCAAAAGTATTAAAATTATGATGACCATAGTTAAAATTATATGGTGGGTTCACATTAAATATAATTTATAAAAAATAGTACATTAAAGTCAAAACTATTTTAACCACTATATAGATTATCTAAAGTTTTTTGCATATATAAACTATACTGCTTAGGAATAGTGACGTGTGGCCTAATACATCTTGAGAGTGACTTACTCTTTAATATCATCGTTAATTGACGTATCTATGCATTACATTGAAAATACAATAAAAATTTAGAAAACTATAAAAGAAACACCCTTAAAAGTTTTAAAAATTGTAAAAAACACCCTAAATTTTTATAATTTATAAATACACAAAACTATTAAACATTACATTGAAATCAAGGAATTACAAAAAATCATTAAAAAATTTCAAACTTTGGAGGGGTAATTTGCAATGTACTAAACTTTAAGGGTGTTTATTTTGTAAATTTCAAATTTAATAGATTTTTAATTAGTTATGCTCTTTCCAAAAACGTTATGGTTAATATTGACCATAAAAAAAATTCTAAACTTATACTTTTAAAGGGAGCATGATAGTTTTTATAAATTTTTAATTTTCTAGGGGTTGTTAGTAATTTTATATATTCATTTTAGTGTCTATAGGTTAGAAATTATCATGGTATTTTTTGTAAATTATGAATTTTAGAGATTTTTTGTAACTTTTTTAACTTATATGCATTTTATACAGATTGTAAATTGTTTATAGATTATTTATAATTCATATGTTTTCAATTTACTAATGAGTTTTAAATTCTCAAGATGTTCTTTGTAATATTTAAATTTTGAGTGTTTGTTTGTAATTTTTTAAATTTTAATGGTATTTCTATAAATTATAATTATGTAGGGGGTATTCGTAATTCCTATATTTTTCACTGTTAGGTTAGAAATTATTAAGACTTTTGTAAATTTTATAATTTTGAGGGTTTTATTTTGTAATTTATAAAAAGTTTAGAGTATTTATTACAAATTTCATAAATTTTCTGTGGTTGTTTGTGTTATTTGTAGGTTTTAGTGTGTTCATAGGTTTAAAATTTTAAATGTGTTTTTTACAAATTTTGAAATTTTAGGGGTGTTTTTGTAATTTTTAAAACTTATGAGATACTTTCTCCAAAGTCAAAAAACTTTTATTTTCTAGCTAACATATGTTTTTCAGATTTCTCACTGAATTAAAATAAGTAAAATTTATAATTTTTAAGATGTTTTAATAAAATTTTGAAATTGTTGGGGTAATGTTGCAATTTAAAAAAATTAGAGTATTTTTTATACAAAGTCCAAAAACTTTTAGATGTTGACTAACATATATTCTTTATATTTCACTGCGAACTGAAATAAATAAAGGATTTGAATTATATCAAACGTATCTCTTTTATCAAATAACATGTTAAATCTCATTATGAATAGGATAAATTATTTAATTACCAATTCAAAAAAGATAGGATAATTAGAATAGATTAGGATAATAATATAATATTTAAAAAAAGTAAGGATAATATTGATCATTAAAATATTTTCCCGAATTCGTACTTTTAAAGGGAGTAAGTATGATATTTGGCCATAAAATGTTTAGCCCTTTTTTAAGTTTTTATACATTTCTAGGTAAGGGTGGCAAGTTGTATCTGTATCCGAAGAAATATCTGTAATCATATACCGGGAACCGTATCCAAAATATTTGAATACATATTAGTCATATTGTTATAATGGTTTTAGTCTTTTAGATTATGCATATGATGTTAATTTTGACAATCAATATATCTAATCTTAGCTTTTCATATATAATGAACATATTAATGAACTCTTTTGTATCACATGAACTATATTTTTTTCTACAATATCTAGGTTTCTCATATCCATTTTATATCTACATGCATATCCGCTCATATATCTGTATGTATATCTGTATCCATATCCGTATCTGATTTTAGCGGATATGAACATGAATTTTCCTTACCAAGATATATTTGTATCCGTATCCATATCCGAACCGAGTCCACCCCTATTTTTAGGCAATAAAAGTTATTGGCTAAAATGACAAACCACTAACGAAGATTTACTCCTAATGTTAGATCTAGTTTGATATGATTATTTGCTACAGGGGATGTTGTAACGCAACTGTTCTTAGTTTGACCGTCAAGTACTAAAAAGCATCGTTTTGTGAAGAAAACCCAACATGATATTTTTGAAACCTTCGTGATCACATTAAAGATGAAACTTTATTTCACGTAGCCAGGATTCATGATGTTAGATGGAAAATAGCTATCGCATCCCACTGATCTTTCCGGTTTATTACAGGTCGTCTCATACGAGGAAGCGTTCAGGTAGGATCTGTTGGGGAATTTCAGTCTCCCCGCCTACCACGATATGCGCAACTCGGAAGTCAATCCCCAATAAACAAGATAGAACAACCACAATCAAGAATAAGAACACCGGGCGTGGTTCGGTCGACCAACTTCGACCTACGTCCACGGGGCAACAAAACGAAAAATTCACTATGTATCAGGGAGAACTACAAGAGGAACCACTCAACTCTTGTCTCTCCATCTCTCAACCTCACATACATAATCAACTCTCATATTCTCTCCAAAGCCCACTCCTTATAATCTTTTGTACGGATAAAGACTACGAAACTCTCTTTCTCTCTCATCTACTACATCTCTACTTTTTCTTCATGGTTTTTCCTCCACCAATAGAAGAATATATATAGAGAAACAAAAACCCTATCTCTAGCCTAACTTCCTAATTAGAATAGGATTCAAACTCCTAATCATGATAAAACCCAAACTCCTAATCATGATAGAACTCAAACTCCTAATCATGATATAACTCAAACTCCTAATCATGATAAAATTCTAACCCTATCTAATTCTCATGAAGTTACACAAAGAATCAAAGACAAAATCCAAACAGGATCTCTGTTCCCAGCAAACTCGCTTTCACCGTTAGAGCGATAGTCAAGATGGTGACTTTATTACCCTGCAATATTGTTAGCTAATCACTTTTTTCTTTCTTAACTTGGGTTAATGGCAAATAGACTCCCCGTAGTATCACCCAATTGCAAACAACCACCATATAATTCTATGATTAGAGATCCTATTAGAACCCCCACCGTGTTGGGGTTCTCTCAACCATAAATGGGGCTGGGAAATACCCAAAATGCCCCTTGTTTATCATCTTACAGGCTGAGAACCCTTGTATTAACTCGAGTGTAATTACTCACCCTAAGTGAATTTTTTTCGATTGTTTTACGAGTAAGAAAAAAATACCAATTGAGAGTCTCTCTTTACCAATAGAACTACAAGGGTATATCCGCTTCCTCAGAACATTTTTGATTGTTTGAAAGAGTCAAAAAGTTCACTCAGAAAAGTACGGGGGGTTTGTCTGCAATTGGGCGATGCTACAAGGATCAAATAACGAAACTAGATGGATAATGAAGACCAAAATTTTAGCCTGAGCGAAGGAAAGAAATGCACGTTTGACGAGTCTTCAGTAGTTCACTATAATAACGCAGTACTCGTAAAGGTTTGCAAGTAAAATCTTCCACAAGCCAAGAGCGTCTTAGAAACTCTACAACTATGTTACGTAGCACTTGTTCCTTCAAAAATGTATTCATACAGCAATGCTGATGTAACAACAAACAGCAGTTGGGATCACATGTTTTTGATTCCAACCGCTTTCAATTATATGCAGTAATCTTTCTCGTCTAAAAGCCTAAATAGTACGCATGGTTCAAAAAATTGTTGCCAGCCATAATTTTTAACACCGCCTTCTTATGATCCTCTGACAAGTTCATTGCCTTGCCATAAAACACTCAAGAGTCACTAAATCGTGATGAGAGACCACATTATCACCCAATCGAATTGCCTGACTGTGACCTGGCTGCTCGAAATACCGGTGAAATTTCAGCTTTTGAGCTCTCCAATGAGCATGTAGCAAGTAGGTGGGTAAACAAAGGATAGCTTAAATGTTTCTAATGTTACCACGTAATCGTTAAAAGGATGGAGCTTTTACACACTGCTTGGCTTCTGATAATAGACTGTGTTTGGATGGCTTTAATCCTTGTTGATACCAGCGATTGATGAGATAGCTCTCTAACTTCCTCACCTGAAATAGTAACATAATATAAAAATTCAAACAGGGTTCAGTATCAATAAATATATGAGAAGGATGAGCATGTGAAATCTATATACTATATAAAAAAAACATGTGGGGGTAATCCAAAATTTGGACGAGTGGTGGACATAGTCTCATTTTCAACTGTACTTAGAAAGGCAAAAAGGTAATTTAACATGAGACANCCCTTTCTCTGTTTTTTGTTTTCTAGAATGTTCCGTATATGATACAAATATATTGTCTTTTTGTTTTCTCTTTCTCCCTTTTTGGTTTTCTAGAATGTTCTATACCATATTCCATGAACATAGGATATGAGCCCATATCGTTACATATCCATTATATTTTAGATTCTAAAAGGAATATAAATTAAAATTATAGGTTCCTTTTAGCCAAAAAAAAAAGTATAGCAAAAGAAAAGCCAAAGAATATAAAAGTATAAAATAAATGTTTTTTGGAAATTATAAGTTTTGTGCATTAGGGACGTGCATTTTATTCTGCAACAAAAGAAAGAAAACATATACAAACAAAATATTTATATATGCTAAAAACCTT